CCATCGCCAATGCGGCGGGAGAGAAAAGCCTTTTCCCTGGGAAACGGTCGAGTGTGGGAGTCCTGGCCGCTGGGAAGTGCGGCCCAGATCGGGCAGGGCTGGTGGGGTCTTCTGCCCTGCCCGGGCAGGCCGTGGTAGGGAGGGGTTGCAGGGGCGCCGGGGTTAGAAACATCAGCTTGGTGGTGAATTTTGTGTATCCATCGTTCCTACATATGAGCTTAGCTCTTATCAGCTGTAATATAGTAAAGGTTCGTATTGGACATTCTTCGGATGAGAGTGGTTAAGTGGCCATGTTATCTCAGGGGATCGTTTTGCACACTTTTGTTGTATTTTCATCGATAAATTGATGGTTAATTGATTTAGGACTACTATAAAATGCAGCCTCTTTTGAAGTACGTCTCAAGGCATGCTTCACATGGCATCTACGTGCATACTGCCAGCTTTGATTTCACTGGTTTAGTTTGTTTTATTTCCAGGAGACAAAACAGTTTTCAGGAACATAAGGGCTGTTTGACTTAAATTCACATTCTTTCATTCATTCCTGAAAATTTTGGGGAGGGTTTTGTGTTAGCGTTGTCTTTGGAAGTCTTGATGTGCCTTCATGCAATGTTTATCATGGAAGAGCTCTTCTTAACATAATGTGAAGCCCTGATGTTTGATTCTCAGGTCTCTTAACTTACCAAATCAGATGGGGAACAGTGAAAATGATCATAAATCTCTTGATGATCATCCAGCTGGAAGGAGAGGACAATATGGTTGTTTTCTGATACCTATGCCAAGGATTATTTTTGAGCTTTGTCTCGTGATGGTTTAATATTCTGTGACATTCATGTGACGTTTAACATTCTGTGACAAGAAGGACATGGAGCTGTTGCAGTGGGTCCAGAGGAGGGCTGCAAAGATCATCTGAGTGCTGGAGCACCTCCCCAGTGAAGGCAGGCTGAGACAGTTGGGGGTGTTCAGCCTGGAGAAGAGAAGGCTGCGGGGGGACCTTATTCCAGCCTCCCAGTTCCTGAAGGGGTCCTACAGGAAAGCTGGGGAGGGACTTTTTACAAGGGCAGGTAGCGATAGAACGAGTGGGAGTGGTTTTAAACTGGAAGAGGGGAGATTTAGACTGGATATTAGGAGGAAATTCTTTACTGTGAGGTGGTGAGGCCCTGGCCCAGGTTGCCCAGGGAAGCTGTGGGTGCCCCCTCCCTGGCAGTGCCCAAGGCCAGGTTGGACGGGGCTGGGAGCAGCCTGGGCTGGTGGAGGTGTCCCTGCCCATGGAGGGGTTGGACTGGGGGGGCTTTAAGGCCCCTTCCAACCTAAATCAGTCTGTGACTTCATGATTCTATTATTGCAGCCTTTCTGAATGGAGGTGGTCTATCAGTAAGAGTGTGTTCAAGAATTGAAACACCAAGTCACAATTCGTTCTACACCAAAGAATAATCCTTGTTTACCTTTTTCTATCTTGTAAAATTTGAAGTCAGTAAATACAACTGGCATATTCCTGCAGAAAGGGTGTGTGTTAATCTTCATCGACATTTTCTAGTATGAATTTACCCTATATACTTCCTTTTCCAGTTAAATATCTTGTGCCCAGGAAATAGAGGAAGACGCTAGTGTTCAAATAAAAATGTAAGGAACTGTAGGAATGCATCAGAGAATTATTTGATATGCTTCAAGTTACCTATTTAAAATAACACTCAAACTGCAAGTAATCAAGCGTGAAGGGATCGAGATTAGGTTAAAAACTTAAGTATTACTAATAATACATTAGTATTATTTTTCAGTCAAGTATGTAATTAAGTGTAGTATCAGTGTTAATAGACTAAGCAAATTAAATTAGAGGCGGATGTCTCCACTTCTCAGCTTTCTCAGGGTATTCAACTGAAGCAGAAATCTGGGAATATTGCATCTGGCTGACAAACAAAGCCTCAATGATAGATACGTGTTGGTAACCAGCAAATTACCAAAGCGACCTTCTGAAGGCTTTTTACAACGGCAGTTTAAACATATGCTACGTAAATATAACCAAGGTTGTGATTAGGCTCGTTATTTTGTGCAAGGAAGGCTTTGAGGTCGTTGCAGTTTCACTTACAATGTTGTTTTTCTGACAGATGGTGTCGTCCTTACCCATTTTTGACACCTTTTTTTTTCTTCTGTGTAAATACAGCGAGCTCACTATAACCAGAACCATGATGGTTTTAAAACCCGCATCCCATATCAAGTTCATGCTTGTTTATCCTCAGTTCTGAATATTAAAAGGCATCATGCTTGAATGTTTACCAGAAAAATGATTCAGAGCGCACGGACTTAAAAAGAGCTCCTCATTTTGTAGAGAGAGCTGCTGAGCATGAATAATTTTTGAAAATAAGGATTATTTAAAATAAGGAATTCTGCCAGGCAGTTTAGCAGGTATTTTTAGAAAAATTAGTGGAAGAAATTGCTGGGATACCACGAATTGCTGTGCCACCTTTACGGGAGGCATATGGAGTAAAGCATCTCTCACTAATCATCAGTGTGTTTCGTAAGCTCTGGAGGAAAGCAGTACAGAAGATGACTAAGCTGTTCTCTTGTATGTGTATCATTGGGCTGACGTTCTGTTTTATTAAGACAAAAATCCATGGGCTTGTTATAAAAATCTCATTATCGTTCAGACTTTGACAAGGTGTCAAGTAGTGCCAAAACATTTACTAACCAGGAATCAGATAACCTTTACCAGCTGTTCTGAGATGCTCAGAATCATGTGTATATTTAATTACTTTTACTTTTGGCAGGAGTTTGACTTTGAAAAGGTGTTCTAGGGTTAAATATGGAGAGAAACAACATTAAGAGTGATTTTTTTAATTTATCTGGTACTCTTGTCAGTCCCAGGCCATTTCTGTCTGAAACTGAAGCTCATTGTGTTAATGTCTCCACATTTATCAATCTGATAGGAATAGAATTAGGTATGGGGTCAGTGTAGCTTTTATATTCTCATTCTGTTCATCTAATCTTCAAGATACACACGAAAGAATAAAACACACTATTTTTTGTCCTACAGTTCTCCTTGTTGCTGCTGTTTTGAATCTACAAGCTGCGGAATTGGAAGACGTTAAATAGAGTTGAACTGTAAATAAACAGATATTTTGCAGCCTGGCAAAATGGCTGATGGTCTGAACTGCGATTTGAAAGCTCTGAGTCCGCTTCAGCTGTTTGAAAGAGTGACTGAACAAGGAGAGAAAGTCAGAGCGCTGAAAGCAGGAAAAGCACCAAAGGTATTTCCACTTCGTGGTTTGAACCCATCCTTTTTCAAGTTAGGGCTGGCTTTAAGAGTGCTGAAGAATGTGATTGTTCTGACATCTATTTTGTATTGCAGTAAGAGAAAAAAAAATCTTGCTAAAAAATATTCATGTCCATTTTGTGAACTGTGGAAACCTGCAGCAAGGTCGTCACTAGCATGAGCAAAGTAAGAACAGGGAGTCTTAGGCTTAAAATCTGCCTCTGCCAGTTCCTATCTGATGTGACATGATCCAAAGTATTGGTTTTCAAGTAAAATTTATATCAACTTGCATTCCCCCGTGGCTTTAGATGCTCCATTAAAATCTTTTTTCCATGCATTATTGTACACATTAGCAAGTGTCTTCCTGAAACTGTACGGACAGTCCCTGCTTCATCTCCATTCAGTAACTTAGTAATTTACCAATTATTTCAGGTTCTCTATTCTGTCATCACTGTGTTGGCAAAGAGAGCTCAGTTTTAATATGAGCTCTCATGTTGTATTGCCTATGGGAGTAAGCCTTGAAAACTGGGAGTTGAATAAAGTGTTGATCTATTTTTTGCTTGCATGAGATGTTACAATAGCTTTGTACTGAAAAGCTCATGACAATGGAAATTGTAAAGAAAGTTTTGTTCTCATTTGCCTTCAAGTTTGTCAAGGAAGTGTAATGCATAAATTATTTTAAGGTGAGCCACTGAAAGCATTGTAAAGTAAATTAGGTAGTAATCTATATTATATTTATATATCTAAGACATTTGTGCTTAAAATGTTAAGCTTGTTATACCTCTGAGAAGCAGGCAAGCTTTTTTTCTTCCTCAGGCAGAAGTTGAAAAGTGAGACAGAGGTGCTTTAAATATTTTTGGTGATGGTGGTGCTCTTAAGTTCTGCCATTTAGGAGAGGATCACCTGCTATTTGCTTTTCTTTTACCTTTGGCAGTGATGCTGCAAACCTGTAAATAATGGTTTTGGGTATATGAATAATGCAATTCAAGTCAAAGCATGGATGCAGCATTTTGAAGGGTTGGGACATTAATGTAATTGTCTATTTTAAGTATGTTAAATCAAACAGTTTGGGTTTTTTTTCCCTTTATTCAGGATGAAATTGATGCAGCAGTGAGGATGTTGTTATCATTAAAACTGTCGTATAAAACAACAACAGGGCAAGATTACCAGGCAGGCTTGCCTCCAAAAGACCTTGTATTAATAAACAACGGTACGGCTAAAGAAGAGGATGAGGATTTTGTGGACCCCTGGAACGTGCAGACATCAAATGCCAAAGGCGTGGATTATGACAAACTCATAGGTATAACTCCTTCTTGACTGCTACTAAGAAATTTATGTCAAGTGATCCTAATGACCACAAAACCAGCAAGGAATCGTAACAAATACTGATAAAAACCATAATGGGTATTATTTAATTTATGCCTAATCTTAGCATTCACATGTCTAAAGAATTTACTGTAGGAATTGGAAATGTCCCAGGCAGGGATCTCCTACGGAAGACTTAAATACTTTGCAAAGAACTTTTCAATTTATAATTTAAGTTTTACTTGCAGGGGTTTTTTTTGGCATAAGAAATTTTATTAGAAGTTATGTTAGCGAAGACACCGTGACTGAGCATCTGTATCTTCTGTGGCTGTGATGCAGAACAGCTAGAGCCTGGAGCAGCCTGTAGGATTCTTCACTCCATGTCTACTTTGACTTCCAAATTAGAGCAGGGATGATCCGAAACTAATGCAGAAATCTGTTAGTGTAATGTACTCCTTCACAAAACACACCTTGAAGCAGCCAAGTGCTTGTTCTAAGTGACGCGTTGGGAATTTTTCAGGGAAGAATACGAGCCTAGCTACTTCAGGAAGTGAACAAGTTACTGCTTGTTAGTGATAAACTTCCTCCTCCTCCTTCCCTATTTAAAAACAACAATAAAAAGTATTGTCCAAGAGCTTGACATCTGATAGCTCTTACCATAAAGGAAGTTTTTGTGCCACCTATAATCTGCTCATTTACTATTGGCCCCAGAGAAAATTGCCAGCGTGTTTGTGTTTACTCAAACACAGAAGAAATGGAAGTGCCAAAAGCACAATGTAATTGAAGGGATGTTCTTCTCCAGTGGTTGTCCTAGATGTGCACTTAGGTGTGTGGTTGCACAACAACGCAGCCTGAAGATACTCTGAGAAGAAAGGTTCTGTTAGCTGAGTACTAGCTGTGAACATCCCCAGAGAATTTGTTTGTTTAAGTGTGAGCAAGGAGCTGAGGGATGAGTGAGAAAGGGTTTTGTATTTTAACCATGGTGATACTTCAGTGAGCTGAATATTGCAAGTGGTTCAACATGGTTGAAGTTGGTGGAGGTCTTTGGAAATAATCTGGTCAGCATCCCTACTCAAAGCAGAGTCAAGGACCTTGTCCACTAGGATATTTATTATCTCCAGGGATGGAGATCCCATGACCTTCCTGGGCAACCTGTTCCAATATTTGACCATGTGGACAATATGAAGGTTTTTCTTAGGTTTTAATTTAATTTCTTTTATTTCAAAATGTGCCTCTTGTCCTTTCACTGAGCATCACTGAGAAAAGTCTGGTGCTGTCTTCTTTACTCCCCCCCACCTCCCATAATTGAGATATTTACACATTGATTAGATCCATGAACCTTCCTTTCCCCAAACTCAGCAACCCCAGTTCTCTCAACGTCTCCTTGTATGACAGGTGCTCTAAGCCCTTCATCTTCATGGTCCTTTGCTGGCTTCACTTCAGTATGTCCATGTCTTTCTTATACTGGAGTGGCAAAGAGGAGAAGTACACAATAAATTTTCAGCAAATACAAATATGCTTTTGAAAACAGCAGTTCTTACGTACAGCGAGTTGATAGCTGTCTCTTGGTAAAACCTAGAACACTAGAAATCAAAAGCACACCAGGATTTTTTAAAATCTTGTTAGGAAGAGGAGACTATCCTTGTCAGAAGCTGTTTAGGAAGGTGGATTCTTTGTGGATAGAAAGCCTAAAATGTTTTTAATATCCTCCTAAGAGGAAATAGGTAGGGAAAAATTATCCAATTTTTAACAGGGAAGGTAAAGAAGGACAAAGAAAAGGGAGTTGTGCAGTTTGTGAATGTTTAATAAAGGTATTTTAGGCATTTCCAGTGAAGTGTTCTATATATCGGAGAGCTTTTAACCACTTCCTATGACAGTACACAAGTATTTCTAGGGCCCAGTAATTGCGATTGGAGAACAGGAAGCTTTACTGAAGAAATAAAAGACTTCTCCAGTTCAGTTTTACTGAGTATAGGAAAAAAATATTGCTGTTTCAGTCTGTTAAAACCTTTATTGAATGAAATGACTATATCTGAAGATGGTGGGGTATTAATCAGCTGATTTCCTAAACCACCGAGTAATAACTCTTACTTGCTTGCAGTGGAGAGTGTTATGTGTTACCTTTTCAAGCCTCTTGTGGGGAGCAGTGTCTGTAACCATATCCATGTAAAAGAAGGATGGAGTTTGCAGAAGAGTGTTCAGGCTTGGAAAGTGAAAACCCGTGTAATCTGAGGGCAGAAAATTTAGACATGAAGAGAGGAACATTCAGAGCCTCACAGCCCTTTTGATCTCGTGAAGTTGTTGACCTAATTGTGTTTCTTTGAAGTGTTTTTTATTCTGAATATCAACACTCCTGCTATAAAGAGATTGCAATTATAATCGTCATGGATGGAGCAGTACTGCGGGTTGTGAGTAGATCTGTTCTCCTGCCATGGAGTTGGTATCAGAGGTGAACACCAGCAAGAATCGGGGAGAATATAGCCATTTTACATGTTACCTTTCTAATCTAGCCTGCGTTAAGATTGTGTGTTTCTTTGAAGTGTTTTTTATTCTGAATATCAACACTCCTGCTATAAAGAGATTGCAATTATAATCGTCATGGATGGAGCAGTACTGCGGGTTGTGAGTAGATCTGTTCTCCTGCCATGGAGTTGGTATCAGAGATGAACACGGGGACTCCCGGCAAGAATCAGGGAAAATATAGCCATTTTACATGTTGCCTTTCTAATCTAGCCTGCATTAAGATTGGTACGTTCTTGGTAAATTTGAGATCTTGTTGCAGCTATGCTTTGCTTCTGTATTTATTTTTTGGGTAAATTTGAGATCTTGTTGCAGCTATGCTTCTGTATTTATTTTTTATGTTTCATTATTACAGTTCGGTTTGGCAGCAGTAAAATTGACACAGATCTGATCAATCGAATAGAAAGAGCTACTGGGCAAAAACCTCACCGCTTTCTACGTAGAGGGATCTTTTTTTCTCACAGGTGAGTTTTTCTTGTTTTAAAATTCAAAAAGCTCTGATTAGGTGGACTTTCTGTATGCATTATTAAAACACAGAATGGTTTGGCTTGGAAGGAACCTCAAAGCCCCCCCAGTCCAACCCCCATGGGCAGGGACACCTCCACCAGCCCAGGCTGCTCCAAGCCCCATCCAACCTGGCCTTGGGCACTGCCAGGGAGGGGGCACCCACAGCTTCTCTGGGCAACCTGGGCCAGGGCCTCACCACCTCACAGGGGAGAATTTCTTCCTAATTTTGACTCTACGTTAGCAGCCAGACAGAGGAATTGTCCTAGCAGAGGACTCCAAGGCTCATCGGTGTCACTGCTGATTTCAACAAGGGTTCACATGGCCTGGGTACCTGTGCATCTGTGGTGTTATGTTAAAAAGGCTCAGGGAATAATCTTAAGCACCAGCCTGCCAGTCATCTACACTGTTTAATTGTTAACATGCCTGGGCTTTTGGACTATGGCAGCGAGCACATTTCAAATAACTGCCTGAGCATGATTCAGGACGTAACCTCCACCAAAGGCCATTCCAAGCTGGTTGTTTGAACCTACTTGAGAAATGATTCCCAGCTCTGTTTTACTCGGCCTTAGAAATTATTATCCAATTCAGTAATTTTTAAAGTTGCACACTTTTTGATTTTAATGTAAATATTAAATTTTAAATTAATTTTTTATTTAAATTTTCTTTGACCTTTTTTCATGGAGACTGAAGGGGACACTTGAAAAAAACCAACAAACAAAACCTTTTTATTTCTAGGACACTTAACATACTGTATTTTACTTATAAATACGTTTAGCTTTAAAAGCACACACATTTTGAATAGAAGCTTTTTGCTGTAGATGTTTCTAGCTAAAGACTTGCATCATGTTTGTTCTGTTTTATCTTTAGAGATATGGACCAAATCCTTGATGCTTATGAAAATAAGAAGTCCTTTTACCTTTATACAGGCAGAGGGCCGTCCTCTCAGGCAATGCATGTTGGTCATCTTATCCCATTTATATTCACAAAGTAAGTTATTTCTACCGTTTGTGTTAATCAAAACATTCTTTTCCTAAGGAAATGTTGAAGGTGGTTTATGGAATTGCCAAAATGATGCATTGCAGGGAGCTCTGTTCATTTGAGGTGAATATTCATGAACTCAAACAATGCAGTCACTAAAATGAAATAATCCCTGCATCACCACCATAAAGCCCTCTTCCTTGCACCCTGAGCCCTGTGGCACTCCTCAGAATTTTTGTTCTTCTTAAAAATAAGTTTGTGATGAGACTCACTCATTCATAATGCGGTGCCTGCAGCAGCAGGACACAGAGGCATTGGACTCAGAGCTAAAAATCTCTTTCAATTCTGTTGCAAATGGTGACCACTGTCTTTTGTACAGGAAAAAACATGAGGTTTTTTTCCAGGTAAACTGTCATTATACTCTGTATTAAATGTTTATTCTGTTCACATAAACATGACTGCAAATGCATACAAAGAAAAGAGAAGCAGATCTCTATATCCTTTTCTTAAATGTTTAAAAACGTGTTAGCTGCCTGCCTTACATCTGCATTTTAGCTTACTTTGAGATAAAATCTTTCTGCTTTTATTAGGTGGCTGCAAGAAGTATTTGATGTTCCCTTAGTTATACAGTTAACTGATGATGAGAAATACCTTTGGAAGGACCTGACGACTGAGAAGGCATATGAATATGCTAGGGAAAATGCAAAAGACATCATTGCATGTGGCTTTGATGTCAATAAAACCTTTATATTTTCTGATTTAGACTATTTGGGGTAAGTATACATTCCTTTAGGGTATTGTAATGATATAAGGTCTCTGTATTTTCTCTCCAACTTTGACAGCCAGCAGTGTTTTAATAAATGCATTTAAATTTCAAAGCTTCAAGACAAGTTTTACAACCCTTAAAATGGAAACATTCATTTTTCTGCTAACATTTAATGTATGCCCTATTGTCATTCTTCTCTATAACATATGAACAAATACTTGGGTGCAATGCTTACATTTAAGTTATGAAAATTGTATTAAACCAGCTAATAGTAAAAATACCTAAACCACAAAGAAACTTCCAGATTTGATCTGGTGAAAGTATTTGAGATGTGTTAACACTTTATCTGCATTAACCAAAGTCATTTCAGCAACTTCTTGTGTTCAGTTGATTTAATAATGCAGACCAAAATGGTGAGATTTAACCCTGAAGGCTTTTTGACACTCTCAGCTTTTGGAGTGAAAGTTTCTACCTCCGCTTTTCTGCTCCTGACTTCTCTTTTTATTTTTCCACTTTCTTTCTCGCAGGACAAGTAGTGGATTCTACAGAAACATTGTCAAAGTTCAGAAGCATGTGACATTTAACCAAGTGAAAGGAATCTTTGGCTTTACAGACAGCGATTGCATTGGTAGGAAATAAGGGAATTTACCAGAAGTGATGCTTGCTTTCACTTTCCATGGCACTATTTTAAGGAATTATTTAAAGAGATCAGTATCTGCCACTCGGGAAATGCATAGAACAAGCAAGAACAACAGTGTTTTGAGGCTGATTGTAAAAGGGTGTTATTGTGGTTTCTTCAGTGTAGAAAACACTTCAGAGTGGAATTTCTAGCACGATGTCTACCATTTTGGCCTTAGTAACAGCAAAGTACAAAACACCAACATTGCCCAGGATAGAGAACTACTTTTGGTATAGTAGTGATTGCATTTGTAGTCAGTTATGCCTCTCAGAAATTGCTGTGCTGAAACGATATAGAAGCTTTTCTCTTCAGAAAAAGTTATATTATTATGCACACACATACGTACCTGAAAAAGTTTAGGAGCCCTCAAAAACCTAATTATCAAGGTGCTAGGTAACTGTGTTCCACTTACTTCTCTGCAATTGCAGCTTTCTATCATACTTGCAAAAAAAAAGAGACATTCTGTGTCAAAGATGGCATTAAAACCTTGCTGTTCCTGAGCACTAACATCATTTTTTTGACCAGTAACTGGGCTTTTTGGCCTTCACTGTAACTGAGGAACAGATTCCTTCTGCCTTCACGGTGCTCTAGTAGGAGTTGGCATCGTGATAATGACTTCATTACATGTTTGGGAAATTCTGCTGTTTGCTTTCTGTTCTGAGTGGATTTTGATCAGGGAAGCAGGTTGGTCACTCTGTGATTCAAAAAGAAAACCAGATACATATGGGATGCTTCACGAGTATAGCAAGCACATAGCAATGGTTGTGAGACCTTAGAGGGGCACTTGTAAACAGCTCACAATGATGACACAGTCAGTTTTCCCCTTCTGGGAAGGGTCTATAGTTCAGTGATGAAGAGAGATGAACCTTTTCTGGGACATTCTGTGATCACAGCCTGCCTGTTTTCATTAGTTTCTGTGTTAGTTGAAGGTTTATTGACATAGAAAGTAAAGATTAAAAAGTTTCCTCAGATGAGGCAACACTGCGTGTTAAAGATAGATGTTGGTCTTCAACTCAGTAACTAAATGGTTCACTTGTGCATTTTGCATGTTTCAGAAACTTCTCTCTATTTATCTTCGCTAATTTTGGCTTCTCAGCTTTTCCAAACATGTTGTTTTCTAGGAAAGATCAGCTTTCCTGCTATTCAAGCTGCTCCATCCTTCAGTTCATCATTTCCACAGATCTTCAATGGCAAGGAGAACATTCAGTGTCTTATCCCATGTGCAATCGATCAGGTAAGAAAACCGTGTTACTTAATTTGGTTTTCATGGATTTGTTTTTGCAGTGTACCATTCAAGCTTCATGGTGGTATATCAAAACATCTGTAAAACGTTTCTGCAAGCACCTTTCTTGGGCAGAAGCTAGAAGAGATAAAAGGGGTTTGTGCAGTGTCCTGACAAAGGTGAAGGCTTAACCCAACATTCGTCTACTCGTGCATTACTCATTGTTGCCAATCTTGGATCTGTCTTGATCTCAACGCAGTTCACTGGCATCTGTGAAAGCAAAGATAGCAAAATCTATGCGAAAGTATATGGACATGGGGGTAGAAAGAAACTTTTGGCCATCTCCATGGTAAGTAGGGAGAGATGTAATGAGCTTAACTTGCAGCAGAAGAGATTTGCATTGAACCATAAGGAAAAACTTTGTATCAGTAAGAATAAAGCAGCACTGAAATAGTTTGCCAGAAAGGCTGCAGAGCCTTAACAATTCAGATCTTTATAAGGAGGATGGAAGGACATAAGCTACAAATGGCAGTGGTAGCATCATTACTTTAAATAAGGATTGTTTCAAGGAATCAAATTCTGCACTGTCTGAATCTTTAGCTATTTTAGTCCCAGGGACAGTCACTGGAAAATGTTGTAGTTACATTCGTCAGCCACAATATTATGTAGTAATATCCTTGCAGTTGGTTTAAGTCAGATCATCAGCACAGCACTGCCAGCGTAATCATGGTTTTAATTCAGATTCTGTGTTGGTTAGACACTTTGGGAGGAAGCTTGCATCTTAATCTGCATCCATCTCCAGGTGTACTAAGCAGAGTTTTCACAATTATTTGAATTTATGTCAATCTTTGTAAATATGCCTATTAACCGAGGCAATCAAAGTTTCCAGATCAAAGCTGTGGGAATGAAAAAAATAAATAACTTTGTTTTTCTGGATGAACTGGAGTGGAAGTATCTTCTGGGATGTTTTCTGGGTTTTGGGGTTTTTGGGGTTTCTTCTTTTTTTTGAGACCACTTGTTGAGGGATGAATGAATCAGCAGTAATCAACTTTTAAGTCCCATTTTCTGACTTCATTCTGTGTTTTTATTGTTGGTTGTTCTAGGATCCTTATTTTAGAATGACCCGAGATGTAGCACCTAGAATTGGACAGCCGAAACCAGCCTTACTGCACTCCGTCTTCTTCCCAGCTCTGCAAGGAGCACAGACAAAGATGAGTGCGAGTGACCCGAACTCCTCCATCTTCCTCACTGATACACCCAAACAGATCAAGACAAAGGTAAGGACCTGCGAAAAAGGTAAAACATCAGAGCACAAAGCTTTGTAACAAAAAGGAGTGTGGTCCTCGCTGTTACAATGGCAGTTTTTGAATGTTTTCTGTGAACATGTCTGCATCATTTTTCCCGTGTGTTTTATTGCAAAGCAAGTTCAGGAATTGACTGAGTTAAGCAAAATTAGCTGGATTATCACATATAATCTTTTGCCGTGCCAACAAGTCTAACAGTGCAAACACTTGCTAGAATAACATACAAAACACCCTGTTTGTTTATCTGGTACTTGCAGAGCAGCGGTGGCTGTGGAGGCACGTGCTCTAATCACAAATATTATGTTGCCATAGTTTTGAAACCTGACAGCCCGTGATTTCAATCAAATAAGCAGCTCTTCCTCTTGACTGCCGCTCCACGCTGGGAGCACCGAGTGTTGCAGTGTCGGTTACAGCACAGGTCAGGCTTCCTGCTGCTGCCATGCACTCCTCCTTCCACATCACCAATAAACAGGCTGAATTTCCCTGAAGTCTTAAAAGAGGTATTTTCTCCTATCTGAATATATTCCTAGTGCCCCTTCTAGCTCGAAGGAAAATCACTCTTACCCAGCGTCAGATGATTGAGTTTGGCAAAAGTTCACCTGTGCTGTGGCATTTAAAATGAATCAATAAAAATCAGTCTTTGGAAAAGGATTTACATGCTTGACAACCAGACATAACTATCTGTCAAAACACGAAAAAGGATCTGTATGTTGTTTCAGCTGGGTGGGTTTGGATTAATTCTGTTATGGTTGACAAACCCATGTGTAGGTCAGATTCTTCTGCAGTTATCTCATAATGATTCATTATCTTACGTAGTAACTGGTTAAACAGTACTGCTCTGAAGACCTGGAATTCTTCATGGGTTTGAATAATAATAATTCTGTTTTATTCGCACGGTTATACAGTTGCTTTTTAAAAACACCCTGTAATTTCAGAATAGAGGATACATGATTAGTGCTAATATTGGTAATATTAATTATTTTTTCCTGGCAAGTAGCTAGTAATCTGCAAAGAGATCCTCGAAGCCCTATGTCCAGTTAATAAGTCCTGTTTGAGCTATCCTTAAAGTAACTGGGAAAATAACAAAATCATTCTAGCTACTTGGAATATAAAAGCTATAAAGACAAAATACTGAACTTAATGTGAAGTATTGAGTAATGGAGGACAACTGAGACTTATTGCAGCTTCTGAAGCCCATCAGAAAGTGTGGTCTTCATGGAAATAGAGCTTGAGGGAAAGAACAAATGTTGTTATGGCAAATAAATTCAAAAAAGAGAGTAGAAAAGGTGACTTCTGGTGGTGGATGAAGGTTAGAAAGAGGGTGCCACTGCTGCACAGTAGTGTCAGCAGTAATTTTTCAGCATTTTTGTGATCACTAGTACATTGCTAAGTAATAAGTTTCAAACCTTAGAGGTAATAGAAGGTGAAAAATTACTAGGTATTGGGAAAGGCTGAAAAGCTTCTGGGAAATCCAAGGAGATGAGTGGCAACATTATAATAAACTGTTCTTATTTCACCAATAAACACCAAATTACAGCTCCATTATTTACCTGTTTTCCTAGAAGCTGTTATTTAAAGTCTAAGTCCATACTAATTCAGGGAAAAGATCAGTGCATCACTACAGAGAAATCATTGAAACCCTCGGTCAATGAGTAGTTGCCAGCATATGTGGAAAAAGAACTTGAGATGAATATAGGAAACAGTTTATATGAAACAGTAATGCACCTTCACCTGATATATTGTATTTAATCCCTCTCACCTTGGTAAGAAGACAAACGGCAGGGGTGAGGGACATAGAAAATACTTCATACAAAGACTTTCAAAATCTAGGAAGGAGACAGGTGAGAGACAGTGCAAAACAGCATCTGAAAACTTAGTTTTACAGATACTGAGACAGCTATTCAGGCTGCCTTGAACATAAGAATAGATGTAATGTGACAGATGGCAATTGATTTTCTTACAGTACTCTTCACTGCATCATTTTTATACGTAATTCAGTGCCACAAGACATCATCTGTAACATGGTGGTTAGAAAGATTCAAAAAAGCACTAGACAGTCATAAAGATAATCAGAATATTCAGAAATTGTAAATATATAACAGTCCCTGGATACCAGAACTAAAAGAATAAATCTGTTTCATGTGCATGTGTGTCTCTTGGCTGGTTGATGACGATACCTTGAAAGACGCAAGAGCCAAATGAAAGCTCAGTTGAGAAATGCCGTGTTGTAATGACCTCCTTTTGCCTCTCCTTCAGCTAATCCAGAATCTGGAGGATCATGATACACCTCTGTTTACAACAAAACCATCCAGAATGCAGTAGAAATTCTACCATAAAATCTTTGTGCTGTTTCAGATTAACAAGCATGCCTTCTCGGGAGGCAGAGATACCATCGAGGAGCACAGGAAGTACGGGGGTAACTGTGACGTTGACGTCTCATTTATGTACCTGACTTTCTTCCTAGAAGATGACGACCGGCTTGAACAACTGAAGCAGGTAAGTAGCCACGTTGAAGATGATAATATTCACTCCTCACTGTGAGGACAAAGCTATAACTAAGTCCTCCTAGGAGGAGGAGAATCCCACAATTATCCGGGAAGGTAATTGTGGTGTTATTCTTGCACTCTCCATCCCTTACAAATCAAAATATTAAGACCTCTGTGTTTGCTGCAGTGTTCTCCTTTCTCACCGGTCATTCTGCGTCATATTTAAAACAAAACGAAACTATTTCTTTAGTATTTTCATGAGGATCCCCAACACTGCATAGGACAGTCTCTTCCCTGCTTTTCAGATGAGGCCACCCCAGGATTAGTGGTGGTTTTAATTGGATGATACACTCTGCCCATTCCTTATGTGCAAGGAACCTAAATACAGTGCAAAACTGAAAAGCTCATGTCAAAAGCTTTCTGGTTTTTAGGTTTTCTTAGCATCACAAGAAATGTAACAGCTATGAGGAACTGATTCACTGATCCCCAGCTTCACACAGATTGTATTTTCCTTAAAACTATCAGGCAGATTTCTGTCCTGGGAGTGATAGCAAGACATTTCACTTTATTCTGCTCTGTGACCAGCACCAGTACTAGGCAGTGGCTGCATGTGATTGTACTGGTGTCATACTGGTTTTTCAGCTTTCCCCTGCTGGAAACAGCTGCAGCCCCATCTCCAACCTTTCCTGCTGTTACTTTAACTTTCAGAGAATCACAGAATCACAGAATATGAGG